GTCTGCGCTAGGGGTGTGTCATAAAGCCAAGGTCATAGTCGCTGAGGTTGAGGCCACTGTACCTGTATTTACAGTTGAACACCACTCGTCGGAGTTAATCCTTGGACCAACATGGCTAACACGTGTCAATGCCACCACCGAGAATACGTGTGATGGGAGGCAGACGGTTACCATAGACGGGCCCGAGGGAAGCAGAGTCACCCTAAAAACTGTGAATGAATTTGACAAGCGTCATAAGATTTCCCTACGGAACAAGGGACTGTTAAAAACGAGAAGTTGTCAGATGATTCCCGAGGAAGTCACTCTTGGACCTCATAAAGTGAAAGGGGGCAAGATTGAAGTTGAGGACTTAGAGGGCAAGTACGTGGTCGATGGAATGGCTTATGAGAAGGAGGTTGACGACGACGAGTTCGGTGGGTGCGTGAACCTATCTTTTTTGGAGGAATTCCCCCATACGGCAGGGGAAAAAGACACAAAACAGTAGTACAAAAAGTCAAGTCAGCCGCGGTCAGCCGTGATAGGACCGGGGAGATAGGAATCACGGAGGAAGAGATCACTCAGATGATTAGGGAGCGAAAGGCTACTGAAGGGCAAAGAATTACCCGTGACAGGATAGAGGGGATGGACATAGGTGCCGGGAACATAACTAAAGAAGAGATAGAGTTGATAATAGACACCTTAAGAGCGTGCGACAAGGCAGTAGCCTTTTGTGACGCGGAGAGAGGAAGGATAGATCCCAGATATGCTAAGCCCACGAGGATTTATATGGTGTCACACGTGTCGTGGAATGATGTCGGGTGGAAGTGCGCGCAAAAGGAGAAGGAGATGATAGTGGATTTCTTAAAGGAGAAGATAAGAACGTTCGTAGCAGAACCATGTGAGAGCGCCTACGCCAACAAATGGTTTTTCATTCGGAAGTCGAATGGGAAGCTCCGATGGATACAAGACCTCCAAAAAACGAATAAGGTTACAGTTAGGGACGTCGGATCTATTCCGAACGCAGATCTTCTCTCTGAAGGAGCATCCGGACGCTCGATATACTCGGTCTGCGACCTTTTCTCAGGCTACGACGAGATTCCACTTGATTACCGAGACCGGCACCTAACTGCAATGCATACGTCGTTGGGGCTAATAAAGATGATGGTGTTGCCTATGGGATGGACCAATGGAGTGGCGGTCTTTCAAAGAGCGATGGTGGTTGTCCTAGGAGAACTCATACCGAACCTGGTAGAGGTTTTCCTGGACGACTTCCCAATCAAGGAACCCTACGAGAAGGACGAGACTGAGGTGAGGCCTGGCGTAAGGAGGTTCGTCGCTACCCACGCTGAAGATATTAAGAAGGTGCTGGTGAAGTTGGAGAATGCTAATCTAACCGTAAGCGGAACTAAGAGTAGGTGGGCAGTGTCTTCTATAAAGATACTAGGCTACATTTGTGACAAGGATAGTAGGAGACCGGACCCCGCGAATTTAGAGAAGTTTATGAACTGGCCTACTCCGTTACGGCATATTACCGATATACGCCAGATTCTGAGGGTAGTTGGGTTCTGGAAGAACTTTATAAAGGGCTATGCTGGAAAAGTCGAGCCGCTAAGAAGGCTCTTGCGCAAAGGAGTGGAATGGAGTTGGACGAGTGAGCAAGAGGATACTGTGAGAGCCCTAAAGGATGAATTTAAAGAAGGGGGACAAGTTTTCGGTGTTCCTTACTTTGAGGACGAGGAGAAGCGACCGTTTGTAGTATGCACGGACGCGGGACCTGCCTCCATTGGGGGGGTCTTAGCTCAGAAAGACCAGGAGGGCCGTGAGAGACCTTTTAGATTCGAGAGTAAGACCTTAAACACCACTTAGAGGAACTACTCACAGTTTAAGAAAGAAGTCATAGGGATGCTACACTGCCTGAATGTCTTTCGTCATTACATTTACAGACAAAGATTTATACTGAGGAATGACCCAACAGCGGTGGCGGCCATCTTACAGAAAGATTTTTCGTTGACGGACCCCACAATTACTAGATGGCTCATGCACATAAGAATGTTTGACTATGTGGTGGAACGGATATCGGGGGCTAAAAATTCAGTGGCGGATGGCTTATCGCGAATTCCGTTAGAAGAAGGGAACCTAGGATCGCCCGGAGGAGTTGACAAGTTTTTACAGACGGAGATAGGCTCTCTAAGAGTAGAGACAAGTACGGTCAGGACTTCGTTGTTCCTCGAGAATCTCTATACAGGGAAATACCACCGGATAGGGCGGTATCTCATAGGTGAGGCGGAGTTGGATGACAAGGTTAGGAAGGAGGCTCAACAGTATTGCCTAAGGGAGGGCCACCTCTTTAAGAGGCCACCTAAGAACGGGATGCCTATGAAGGTCGTCTGTAACGAGGGTGAGCAACGAGATACAATAGCGGAACTTCACGACGGCATCGTTGGGGGACACAGAGGAGTGAAAGGAACCTTTGAGAAGGTCAGGAACCTTTATTGGTGGGATGGCCTATATAGGGACGTGGAAGCGTATTGTCTCACATGCGTGGAGTGTCAGAAAAGGGTTGTGGTTAAGTATAAGGAACCACCGTTTCCTTCGTATCCTACAGCGATAGGTCAAAAAGTTCACGTGGACTTAGTTAAGATGCCCAAAGGGGAAGGGGGAATGAATTATATCATGGACATTAGGGATGACTTGACCGGGTTTGTAGAAGCATGGTCATTGAAGCAGAAAACCAGCAAGGCTGTTAGTGGATATCTAACGGAGTATATCACTCGGTATGGTTGTGTGGGGAAGATTGTTATGGATAGGGGGTCAAAATTCATGGCCAAAGAAGTCCAGGAACACCTAAAGAGAAAGAAGAAGTCGACAAGCAACTAGAAGGTCATCTGGAGAAGCGCGAAGCAGACCCTACAAGAGTGGTCACTCATGAGACAGGAGAATCCTCTAAGATGTCTACAAGAAAGGGGAAAGAGAAGGCCCTAGGGGTCAAGGGTAGATAATGGAAAGGCACGAGGAAGAAGAAGAGCGAAGTCGTAGTGTCGGTCGAGTTGAGGAAGGAAAAGAAGCGAAAGGGCAAGGAGACTATTAAAATCATACTGGTAGTGGATAAGACAGAGAGTCAGCGCCGCTATGAGAACAGGCAATGGAGGTCCACCAGCCGATTAGGGGTCAAAAAGAGATTAGTTAAAAAGAAGCAAAGAAAAAATAAAAAGCAACAAAAAGGGACTCGATGAGGAAAAAAAAGACAATCTTGGGTTGATGGGTAGAGATTAGGAGTCAGCTTTTCTCCTCCCTTTTTCCTAGATATTCCCAGATTGCTCGCCGGGGACGTCGAGAATGGGGGGGGGGCTGCTGTCGGGCGGCTCCAACCCTACGCCGCCGTTTTCTTCTCTTGCAAGGGTGCGCATCAAGGTTTCTATTTGTTGGCTTTTACCTAGCTGAAGCTCACTGGCCACGAGAAAAATGTCGTGACAAGTTGACCAGGCGGGTGACGAACTACGATATCCAGTTCGAGCAGAAAACATGCGATGAAAAGCGGTACCTTTGCGGAAAGAGCCTAAGATGTAAGCCAATGGCAAGCACAAAGAGGCTGCCACAGCGGACAATTGCCGAGGGATCGCACAAAGAAGCGCGACTGCGGAAGGTTGGAATGATACTGAATGTCGGCTGAATGGTCAACTGTGTGTCCGAAAATCGATTCAACGTGGGTTTCGCGTTGAATTCCCGTTCAATCCCCGTTCAAACGCGCGTTGGACGCGAATGAACAGGGTCCGCGATCCACGTTTCCGCGCGTTTGGGGGGGGGGGTAGGGGTTTTGTGAAAGTGTGGGGTGGTAGTGTCCGCAGTCGGGTCCTGGGG